GAGAGAGAGAGAGTGAAAGAGAGAGAGAAAGAGAGAGAGAGAAACAAGATGAGCGAGAGAGAGAGAGAAAGAGAGCAAAAAGAGATGACACAAGAGATATAGAGAGAGACATATATATATATATAGAGAGAGAGAGAGAGAGAGATGGAAGAAAGATGAGCACGAGAGATAGAGTGTGAAGAGAGATGAGAGAGCTAAATAGAATAGTGATGAGTGAGAGAGAGAGAGAGAGAGATGCAAGATGAACGAGAGACATAGAGAGAGAGAGAGAAAAAGAGGCCCATTTCATTTTTTGACTTTTTCCTTTTTTGACAAGTCATTAAGAGAAATGAGAGATGAGTGATTGAAAGAGAAGAGAAAGAGAAAGAAAAAGAAGAGATCGATAAATCAAGAGGGAGATCGGTAAATCGAGAAGAAGGGAATAAGAGAGTGAGCAACGCAAACACAGTGTGGGAGAGAGAGAGAGAAAGAGACAAACACAGACAGACAAACAAAGAGTAATGAATGAGAGAGAGAGAAAGAGAAAGAGAAATAGAAATAGAAGAGAGATGAGCGAGACAGAGAGACCGGAAGATGAAAAAATGTGTGAAAATAGAATGTTATATCAAAATAGTATCGTTTTTTCTTTTTTTTTTTGTGCGACGACATTTATTACCATCGTAAAAAACTCTTTTATCTGCGACTGCAGTTCATGCCGCCGCAAAAAAGAACTTTATTTGTGACAGCAGGGGTTACCATCGCAAAAAATGTGCATTATTTGCGATTGCAGTTGTTGCCGTTGCAAAAAGTTGTTTTTTTGTGACAGGAAGTGGTGCCATCGCTAAAAACCCATTTATTGGTGATGACAAGTGATACCGTCACAAAGAATCACTTTTTGCAACGATAAGTGGTGTCGTCACAAATGTTTCCGTGTTATATAGCCCCTTTTCTTGTAGTGATGTCAAGCTTTGTTCCCTGAAGGTACTGTGAGGACCCTTCCAAGAACCTATTCGGATCATTCTCCACTGGTGATTTACACACAAGGTATGCACCCCTCCAACTCTCACAATAGACCCTTTAGATTTGAAACTGCTTGGCTATGTCACCCCACTTTCTTTGATGTTGTTCAGAAATTTTGGCATAATATGGAGTTTAAACTGCTTGAAGCCATTGATAACTTCACTATTAATGCTAAAACCTGGAACAAAGAAGTTTTTGGCAACATTTAAAAAAAAAAAGAGAAATCTTCTGGCTCGCATTAAAGGCATACAAAAAACCCAAGCCATCAATTTTTCGCATAATCTTCATCTTCTTGAGAAGGACCTTATTAAACAATTTAACATGACATTGTTTCAGATAGAAATTTTGTGGTACCAAAAATCTCGTAATAAATGGCTTACCATGGGTGATAGCAATTCAAAAATTTTCCATATCTCCACTCTTACCAAGAGAAGAAAGTCTAAAATCTAGGCCTTAAAAGATGATAATGGTAATTAGATTTCCAGTAGTAATGAACTCAAAGCCCACATTTTGGATCACTTCACTAAACTCTTTAAACATGAAGAAACTCATCTTTTGGATAATTGGGTTAATATTGCTAGAACCAGAATCACTAGAGAAGATAATGCTAGTCTCTAAGCCCCTGTGACTAACACTGAAATCTGGAATGCCATTCGTAGCATTAAAGCCTTTAAAGCCCTTGGAAAGGATGGTCTTCAATCTGTTTTCTACCATAACAATTGAAACACTATTGGCAACTTTGTCTGTCATTTTATTAAGGATTGTTTCCACAATAAGACTATCCCCACTGAGATCAATGAAACCCAAATTGTTCTCATCCCTAAACTTCAGAACCCCGAGTCTTTAAAACAATTTCGCCCCATAAGCCTTTGTAATGTTACCTATAAAACCATTACTAAAATTATTGTCAACAGATTTAGACCTCTTCTTTTTGATCTCATCAGCCCTAACCAAAGTAGTTTTATCCCTGGGCGAACTACCACTGATAACATTATCATAACCCAAGAGATTCTCCACACCTTTAGAGGTAAAAAAGGTAAGACTGGGGGTATGGTCCTTAAAATTGATTTGGAAAAGGCCTATGATCGTATTTCCTAGGATTTTATCCACCACTCCCTTAAAGAACTTAATCTCAACCCTGAATGGATCACTCTCATCATGAATTGTGTGTCTAATGTCAATTATGCCATCACTTGGAATAGTGAGGCCTTACCCAACATTAGTATGGGAAGAGGTCTCAAATAGGGAGATCCTTTATCGCCTTATTTATTTGTTCTTTACATGGAAAATCTGTCCAACATGATCAGAATTAAAACTGAAAATGGAGAATGGAAGGGCCTTCAAGCTTCTAAAGACAGCCTTCTCATTTCCCATTTGTTTTTTTGTTGACGACCTTATCTTATTTACTAGAGCTACTAGAAGAAACTGTGCTTGTATTTTGGATGTGCTATCTAAATTTTGTGATATGTTTGGACAAAAAATCAATTTTCAAAAATCCAAAATGTTATTTTCTTCTAATATTCCTAGAAGGGAAGCCACCTCTCTTAGCTTCCAATGTGGCATATTTTTCACCACTGACTTGGGTAAATACCTGGGCACCCCTCTCCTCTATAGCAAAATGTCCAAATCCCAGTTTCAAGAAATTCTTGACAAAATCGCACAAAGACTCTCTGGATGGAAAGCCAAAAACCTGTCCCTTGTAGGTAGAACAACCCTGATTAAGGCTATTACATTTGCTATGCCTAACCATCTTATGGACCAAATTGACAAACTGAATAGAAATTTCTTTTGGGGTAGTACTGAAGTCCATCTTGTGAACTGGAAGAAGGTTTGTAAAAGTAAGAAGCATGGGGGCTTAGGCATTAAACAAGCTAGAAAACAAAATTTTGCACTTGTCTCTAGGCTGGGATGGAAAACTGCCACTAATTCTAATAAGCTAAGGTGTGACGTTCTCAGAACTAAGCACCTCAAAACTCATTCTCTCTCCAACTGGCCCACTAAAAGAAAAGCCTTTCACACTTGGAAAGGCATTATTAGAAACAGAGATGTTTTGGATAAGAACATTAAATGGGATATTGGGACAGCGGAGCATATTTCACTATGGACTGACTGGTGGTATGGAGAACAACCCTTATGAATGACAACCCAAGGAGAACATACTGAAGCTCTAACCAAAGTCAGCTCCATTCTTGATGCTGAAGGAAACTGGGATTTAACCTCAATCCACAACCTTATATCCTAACAGAACAATGAGGCCATTCTTAGAGTCCATAGACCCAGGTGTGTGATTTATAATGACACATCTCATTGGAAAGGTTCCTCTAGTGGCAAGTACTCTACAACAGCAGCCTATCAAGCCATATCAAACCAAGCTACTGATGGAGTTAACTGGCAATGGATATGGAAGTTACAGGTACCTCACAAACTGAGGAGCTTTCTCTGGCTTGTCAGGCATGAAAAACTACTAACCAATCATATGAGGCTCATAAGGAATATTTCAAAAACAGATATCTACCCTAGATGCCAAATATCTAGAGAAGATATGCACCATTTATTCAGAAGTTGTCCTAAAGCTAAAGTAATATGGTTGAACCTGAAGAACTCTACTTGGTAGCAGCACAACAGCAATATGACTTTACAAGATTGGATTAAAACCAATATCATCAGTAATGACCAAATTAATAATATTCAATGGTCTACAGTCTTCTTGACAGCTCTTTGGCTCATTTGGAAAGAGAGAAACAAAAAAGTGTCTGAAAATCTAACACATATTCCTAGCACCAGTGTTAACTTCATCCTACAAAAGGCAAAGGAAACTCATGAAGCCTTTCAAGCTATCCTGCATCCAAATTTTAAAGATCCTAAACTAATGTTCTAGTCTTGTCCTATTGTAGGTAAACTTAAGCTAAACACTAATGGATGTTCCAAGGGTGATCCTGACCAATTTGGATTTGGAGGACTGCTCAGAGATGAAGTAGGCACCTGGGTATGGGAATTCTATAGATACTTATCCTCCGTTTGGGAAGTGAGTTGGCTTTTTGGCTTTTTTGACTATTTCGGCCCAGGCTAAAAAGCTTGGTTTGAGAAGGGCTTTTTGGCTTTTTTTATGAGAGAATAGTGTAATGATTATGGGTTGAATGTGATGCTTTGTTTTTTGTGGTTAAAACAACCTATTTTGTCTTTTGCGGCTAAAATAGCCACTTTAACCCTTCCCAAACAATGCCTTACTGCACCAGCTTGGAGGCTGAGATATGGGGCATATACAGAGGACTAACCATAATCATGCAAAAAGGACTGGCCAACATCCAAATTGAAACTGATTCTCAGATAGTTATGGAACTCATTCAAGATGGCGCTGGCGAAAACTCACCATACAGGGCACTCATTGAAGATGCCGACTTCCTTCTAAGAAGATGTCAACTTCCTTCTAAGAAGATGTCAATGCACTATTGAAACTATTCCCAGGGAAGCCAATCAAAGTGTAGATGCTATGGCTAACTTAGGAGCAAGCCAACAGGAGCACCTTATATTTTTGGAAGACCCACCTAGTTCTATCTTCTCTATGTTAACAGCTGAAATGATAAATGTTGGCTCAAGAAGGGATTCTGATATCCCATGATACTAGCTGTGTATTCTATTTTTAACTCTTCACTTGAATAAAAAAAAAAGTAAACAACTTATACCTTACATTCAAACAATCATATTCTATTGTCCTATATATGGCTTGGTATGAGGAGTAGTTATTTTAATAGTATTTTTTTTTTTATCTTTTTATTAAAATATGAGATAAAAAAATTAGTATGTTTAGAATAAATTTTTAATTTTTTATAAAAAAATGTGAAAAAAAAAAGAAAAAAAATATTTAACTTTTTAATATATATAGTTGGTTTTTTAATTTTTTTAATAATTTATTAACTTTTAAATTAAAATAATGGATTGCAAAGCAAGACCTAAATATATTTGTAATAAATAAAATCGGGGCGGGTGCACAGAGTTGTTAGACCTCAACACTGTACGAAACGACACGTACACATCTTCTGAAACCCCCAAGGGTTTATGGGCAGTCGCACCAAAACAGAAGCGAAGACAATCAGGTGCTCTGCAAAAACCCTTTTTCAAACTCACGAATCCGCCATGTCCATGAAGCTCCTTCAAACCATCTCTGGCATGTTCTCAGTCTCACCTTTCAATCTAGAGAGAGAGAGAGAGAGAAAGTGAAAGTTTTTCTGATAATCTCTTTTCTCTTCTTCTTCTTCAGGGCATCACCGTTCACTGGTTCGAGCACTCGGAGTCCGCCATTTTGCAGCTTCGACTGAAGAGTACGCAAAGAGAAATTACGCTAACAATGATTCAGAGTACAACACCGTCATTGCCTCTCTCACTTCTCAACGAAGGTCTCTCTCCGATTTTAGGTCTATTACTCATATTTTTACTTAGATTTTGCTTCATTTGATATAGACTACTCCAATGGCCTAACTCAAATTTGAGTAATTATTAGTAAAAATTTGGTAATTGGTAGGTACAATTGTAAATTTAGAAATTTGAGTTAAACTAAGAGAGTGGAGAAAGATTTTGAGCATTTCCTTCTCCCTTTCTCTCTTTGATTTAAGGTCTATAGATATATGTTTGTGTTGTATGCCATCTCTAGCCCTTAACTCATTTTTTACTCAGATTTAGCTTCATTTGATATAGAGTACTTCAATGGCCAACCTAAAATTTGAGTATAAATTAGTAAAAATTTGGAAAGTGGCACCATTTTATATTTAGAAATTTGAGTAAAGAAAAGGGCCTTTTTGATTTGGGTCAAAATTTGAGTACAACTCATTTTGGTATGAGTTTGAGTTTTGTTTGGATGGGGTGATTCAGTGAGAAATGATAAGAAATGACAAGAAATAAATTTTCTCATGTTTGATTTGTAAGTTAGTGAAAAATGGTGAGAATTGATGAGAAATGGTGAGAAAGAGATATCTCTTACTAAGCCTATTTCATTTTTTACTAAGTGGTGAGATTTGGTGAGAAACAAGTTGATTGGTTATAAAATATTTATAATGGCAAGATGAGTGACCCTTAAAATACAAAGGAAGAATAGGAAATCTCGCTCATATTTCTCTCTCACTTGCTTTGCTTTCTTGCTCATTCAAACATGACGGTGGAAAAACACAATCATTTCTTTTCTTTTTCTCACCTTACAATCCAATGGATAGGGAGTGGAGAAAGATTTTGATCATTTTTACTCAAATTTGAATTTGATATGGATTAATGGTAAGGATTGGAGATGCCATATGACAGTTAGTTACTTCGCATTTATTTGTTATGTAGGCATTATTTGTTGAGAGATGTGTATGATGATATGATGCTGGATGGGGTTAAACCAGAGCGAGATACATTCCATTCACTGATTGCTGGGGCGATGAAAGGCGCTCGCTTGCAGGACGCTTTCTTCTTCCGAGATGAAATGAAAGCCATGGGTCTGGTTCCTGATGTATGTATAATTGTTTTTTTCCATTTCTATGATCACTTTGTTATTAATTAACATGTTCATTGAAATTTATATTTCTGTTTTTTACATATATGATATATCTATCGAGTGGAGCACAAAATTCTTTGTGTATTCTTGAGGTCTGAATAGTAACACCTTGCTGACTGCTGATTGAATTGCACTTGGTTTCAACCAGTTTTTAGTATTTGTTTCTTGTATATGACTTAGAAGATGAGTTTGGGTTTTTAAGCATAATAGATACTACAAATCCAAGGTTCTTTTTCTCTCTTCGGTTGAACCCATTTTCTATTCTTGGTGCCCTTGGGTCAATTAATTTTGTTAAATGTGGAATAATGTTATTTGGAGATAGTGCAAGAGAATGCAAATCTAGAATAATTTTAGCATATAAAAAGAATTGGCTAGTTAGAGCAACTCCAAGGAAAGAGGCATATTGATCCTGTTAACTATTTTAACTAATATCATCCAAATATTCTCCTCCAATGGGCTGGCTAAATGGCTTCCTATTTTCCCTCGTGTCTTCTCCGCTGGCTTCAATTGGAGAGTGATTGAAGGCTCTCCAAACTCGTCTCTCCCGCGAAATCGATCTGCTCTCCCGCGAAATCGATCTACTTCTTCAGCACGAAATCGATCTGCTCCTTCAACGCGAAATCGATCTTCTCCTTCAGCGTTGTCTGCAACTCCCTCCATCTGACCTCTTCCTCAAGGTATGGATCCTTCTATCTCTCTGTCTTCCCCTTCAATGCAACTCATAGACCCTCTCTCTCCAAGAAAAGCAATTTGCAACCCTAGAGGCTCCAATCTGACTAAAAATTCCGTATTTAATCTCATATTTATGCCGTATGGAGTATAGACAACTTGAATGCAATGCACATCTTCCTCTATATAATGTAAAGCATCAAAGTCCAGACCAAAATTATGCATCTGAATTTGAAACAGTGTCAATATACTATTTACAACCGTCTGAAAGACCAACTTATCAAAGGCATCTGATTTAATGAAAGTAAAAAAACACCTCACAATGGGGACTGAATGCCTTTCCTTGAATATAGATGATATTTAGTTTATGAATTTTACTTTCAATGATCAGCAATCGGGACATGGAGATAAAATTAGTTTATGAATAAGGACCTCCAAATCATTGGTCAGCGATTTCAATGTTTGTAGTTTATAAAATATAATCCCGTCAGTTTGTAATGGAATTGAAAGAAAAAAAAGGGAAAAAGAGAAACGTATTTGTTCGTTTAAAGGTGACAAATTAACAAAAGAGCTAGATGTTAGTGGATTTTTGTCTCTGTTTTGTTGCCACCTAGTTGGACACTTGTAATTAGTTCCATGTTTGCAAAAAGAATCATGTAAGGAAAAAAAATGAAGAGTTGTATCTTACCCCATTATATTCGGCGAAATAAAACTATGATAAAATCTAATGCTAATAGCACTCCTCAAATCAATTTGATTGTTCTATGAAAAATTTATTGCTAGTAGTTGAACTCCTCCGTGACCCTGTTTCCCTAATACATAATCCTAATCTGTAGTAAATGGAAAAAAAATGAAGAGTTGTATCTTACCATTATATTCGGCGAAATAAAACTATGATAAAATCTAATGCTAATAGCACCCCTCAAATCAATTTGATTGTTCTGTGAAAAAGTTATTGTTAGTAGTTGAACTCCTCCATGACCCTGTTTCCCTAATACATAATCTTAATTTGTAGTAAATGAAGATATTCGTTTTATTGTTGAATCAGTGGTCCTGAAGATTTAAGTAGCTGAATACTAATGTTGAAAATTTAATGATGAGTTTGTCCATAGAGATTAAAATATAAATTGCTACTTAGTAACCATGTTTAGCATTCAATGATAAGTCAAGCATCTTTGACGGTGAATTTCAAATTCAAGTGGTAACTGGTTGTGCGTTATTAAAACACACATAATAAAACATTCATTTGAAAAACTTCTAACTCGAGCACTTAATTTAGTTGTCAAACATTTTCTTAGTGCCATACAATAGCTCTATAAGACTTGCAACAATATCACCCATAAATAGGTTTATGCGGGGGCTTGCTTGTGGTAAGACCATAGATTAAGGGTCTAGAGGGTGTGCGAAATTTATGGCATTTGCAGATAAATAGGTCTGAATTGGCTTGATTAGTGGGTGACAGGTTGCTGGACTGGATGTTAAGAAAATTGGTTGCAAGATTATTTAGTTGCTAAATTAATGGTCAAAGAGTAAGAAAAAAGGTTAGGTTTGCCAAACTAGGACATTGGGATGAAAAACTAAAGAAATTAATTGTTGGTTGAGATGGTGTAAAGATTAATTGTTAATCTCAGTGTGAAGAATTGGCTTTGCAAATTTGTCAAGGTACTAAACTTTGCTTGTGAATGATGATACGTTTTTATCATTGCATGACTTGTTAAACCAATGAAAATCAATTGAAGATGATGTCTTTATATATTCTGGCAATTTGACGTATGTGACATGTATATTGTGAAAATCTTGAAGGTTATATACCTTCTCTTTTGTTAACTTAGAACCGACACATACTAGAGAAAATGTACATTATTTTAACATCTGATAGACAGAAGGATCTGATAACCTTCTTTTGAATAAGTCATTTGTTTGTGAAGAAGGGTTGATTGTCATAATTTTCTTTACCTTGAATAATATATATGACCCATGATAGGAACTGTATAAAACAAATGTCATATACAGTTGGTTGAGAGAAATTTGAGCACACATATCATCATTTCTATTTAAACTTGAGCATAGAAACTCATCATAGATGACTATAGACCGCCCGAACTCGCTCCGCGCGTCCCCCTTTCGGAGAGGGCGTGAATTGGGTTCTAGCTACTACAGTTCGGACTCCTGTCATGGTTCTGAATCGAATCTCACAAAGTGCAATGTAAGACTGATAAATCACCAAAGAGTCCACATCCGGCAGATCGTTTTGGAAAATCGATTTTAATCAAAAAGCGCCAAACATGGATTGCTTTGCCAGATTTCAAAGTTGCTACCTAAATATTTTGTTTTGGGGGGGTTGTTTGGGATGTCCTAAATAAGTGCACTTTTTGTCTTTTTGGACTAAAAGTTGAGGGAAAAAATATGGATGCTTGGGTTAACTTTTTGACTTTTTATGAAAAAATGTGTATTAAAAAATTATATAAATTAGTGTGTAGGAAAAAATTAGGATTGAGAGTTGTGCAGCTGTACTTTTTTGACTTTTGGTGAATAGTGATAACTTTTTAACTTTTTGAGTAACTTTTTGATTTTTTGACTTTTTTTTAACTTGCCAAACTTGGCCTTAGGAAACCCTGACTCGTGTCTAAGGCCACGTGTCCGTCATCACCAAAGTTGCCTCGGCTCGGGAACTTGGGTACGAGAGGAGAAGGTCCTGAAATGAGCACCTCTGCACGCCCAATCAAAGATCGGCCTCTACTAACGTGATTTGTTGTTCTTGAAAACACGTGTTCTTATTCCGGTTATTAATGTAGAATTACTATGTGATGCGCGCACCATACAAATATAGACTAAATCGTAAGAATTGGAACAAAACATCTCATGTTTGTTTTTCGAAAATGGTTTGAAAGTGCTACTTGCAAGTAGACTAAGACACGGATTTGCCACCCTCAAGTGGGCTTAGAAAACAACATGATTTTGCCACTCCGCAAAGTGGGCTTAAAACGCACATTTTGATGAATTGTTCCAATTCAAGCAATGAAGCCTTCATCCACAGACATTCATGCAGTTAATCAATTAAGCAATTAGGCTCATAGCAAGTATGCTAGCATGACAGTCACTTACACACATGCAAGGATGCTAAAGCATAAACACTTACAGTGTACTTCGAGCCAAAACAGAAGGTAGTTAGAAATCATGCATGATCCTAGTTATGTCAACAATGCCTAATGCAACATATGTAAAAATGAAACTAAAATAGGCTCGGCTATCTAAGATGACATATGAATGCTACACCTGATACATGTATTCAAATAGGAATTGAAATACAATGCAGTTTGAATGATGTGTCGAGCCCGGTGCATGCAATACGAATGAATGATGCACGCATGCAAACATAAGTATGCTAATTGAAATATGCCCTAAAACTAACCATCAAAAGCTGGTATATAAAAAGGAGAAAGACGTGGGGTTTGAAGACATTCACACACCCACGCATACTTATTACAACATTTGCCCTCTCGACGGAGGGTCCGAATAATAAGCTAACTAGTTACGCTAATTAAACTAATTATTACAAACCAAAGCTAATTAACTATTCTTAGTTAATTAATTATTACAAAACAAATCGATTAATTAAGCACATTAACTAATTAAGTACAAAACCGACGAATTAGCTAACTAAGTAAAGCAGCTAAAGCAGTTAAAAGAGATCCTCGGGGCGAGGGGTGCATGCATGCTCGATCGCCTCGCTCGGAAATCCATTGCTATGTCCAGAATTGCCTCTGTTTGCATTTGATTTGATCTTTGAAAAGTGCACTAACTTCCAGATTGCTTCTGCTCCAACATGGGGACCTCCTGGTGGGCTGTCAACCAGAAAAAGGGGCTGTCGACCAGAAAAACTGGTCGTAGACCAGAAAAACTGGTCGGTTGACCACCCATACTGGTCGGCTGACCAGTTGATTTGCCAAACTCTAGTTTTGCTGCAACAGAGAACAACAAGGGGCATAACAGTGTATTTGCAAGATATGTGTGCACAACCACTCTCCCTATCATTTCTCAAACTCAAGGGAGTGTGGTACTCGACTCTCGGGCCACCAACCGAGCATCACAATGCACAATGGCCGAGAAGCCAAGTTTGCACAAGTCAATGTCAATGAATGCACAAATAACACATAAGGGCCTCCACCTCTATCATGCTTGATCAAGAGGGTCGGCGACCAAAAAAATGCTAAACGTTTCATCACTTTAAGTATGAAACGTGCGACATTCCTCATGTTTGGATTAACGTCCAATCCAAACACATG